CGTGCGGTTGTGTGCGTGTGTGGTGTGTGTGCGTGTGTGGTGTGTGCGGTTTGTGTGGGGTTGGTGGTGGGTGGTGTGGGCGGGTGGGTGGGTGGGGGGTGGGGCGGCGGTGGTGGGGGGGGGGGGGGGGGCGGCGCGGGGGGGGGGGGGGGGGGGGGGGGGGAAAGGGGGGGGGGGGGGGCGCGCGTGGTCGGCGGCGGCGTCTGAAAGAGAGGGGCAGGGGCGGCGCCTGTGCGAGCGGGCGCAATGGCCTCGGCGCGCGCGCGCAGGCGCGGCAGAGCGCGGGGGCGAACGGCTGAGCGGCGAAGCAGTTGCGGCAACGGCGATCGTGGATCGGGCGGAAGAGGAGAAAGAGAAGGACGAGGAGGTCGAGGCGGAAGCCAGCGAGGAGGAGGTGGAGGATGACGAGAAGGGAGGGGCAGAGGAGGAGGGGCGGGGGAGGAGGAGGATGAGGGAGAGAAAGGGGGGCGGGCGAGCGGCGGCAGAGCGGCTTGCGGGGCATGGGCGGGCGGGGGGGAGTGGCGATGGGGAAAGCCATCGGGGCGAGGGCGCGCGGGGTCCTCAAAGTGAGTGCCCAGCTTAGCATTCGTGCGCGGCTTGCGTTTCGCATGCGTTTTCCAGATGCAAATGGGCGCAGGGCAATGTCATCGGGGTGGGTCAATTCGGTTCGTCTGCGCCGATTGCGAAACAACCTTCTCGCGCGCCCCAGCGCGCTCTCCCTTCTTTTTCGTTGCGCAATACTTTTAGAACCGCGAAGTCGCGCTGCTGCCGCGTCGCAACCCGTCCGCAGCGATCGAAGTTGCGCGCCGAGGGGGGGGGGGGGTCTCTCATGTCCCTGTCGTTGGCAAGGATGCCCCCGCCCCCCGGTCCCCCCCCCCGCCACCCCCCCTTCCCCCGCCTCCCAGTTCCCCCGTTGGCTTCGGACTCCATCGCGCCCCCCTCCCAGCGCCTCCCCCCCTGAAACATCTATGTAGTTGCATCGCTTTCCGCGACGCATGTATAGGTATCGCCGTTTTGCAGCGTTTTAAAAGTTCATATGATGTTGTCGTTTCGTGTTTGTTGTCACATCGACGCGTTCGCCCATGGCCCCTGGTTCCATCTTCCAGAATTCTGGCGCCGCCCCATCGTTCACGCTTCGCGAATCCCCGCCCGCCCATCCAGCGCCGGCCACTCGAACGAAGAGCGCCGACCGTCGGGAGTTGCCCCCCTCTCCTCTTAGTTTGCAAGTGTTTTCCCTTCCTGCCCTCCCCTCCTCATCCTCCCTTGCCCATCCTCGTCGCTCGCCCCGTCCTTTTCCCACTGGCCCCTTCGGTCGCCGCGAGCGACATCGCGCGAGATTTTCGAAGAGAGCCACCGCGAAGCTTCTGGGGCGCGCGTTGCTTTTTTTTTTTGGGGGGGAGGGGGGGGGCGTCGGCGCGGCCTTTGGAAGACCTTCAAAATGAATGGGGGTTGCCCGAATGCCCCTCATCCCTTTCCTAGGGGGCGCGATCCCTGCGAAGGGTGGCAGAAAAAAACAAGCCCCAGGAATAGTCCACCCCCAACTAATTTCGGAATTCCTGCTGGGGCAGGGGGCGGGGCCCCAAAGGGGTTGAAATGGGGGGCTGAACAGAACGGACTACCTACATAGCACGCGTCCAAAGGGCTGGTTAGATACGTCATACTCGCGCAAGCGCTGTCTCCCCCCGCCCAATTCCCTTGTCGTTATAACCCAGCCTGTCGGAGGGGGGGGAGGGGGGGGATTTGAGGGGTGATAGGGGTGTTTTTTTTGTGGTGGGTGTTCATCGCTGGCAATGTGTTTGCGTCTTTGGTTCGGGCTACCACCTGTTGTTTGATATAGCATTTCGGTTGGTATATGTAGCGGCGCGATGCAGCAACGCGCGTTTGAATTTATCGTGTGCGCGTTGGCGCTGGTGGACCACGCGCGGGTGTTTTGTTCGTGTAATTCGTAGGCGCGCAGAGACTACCAACGCGTGAGTGTTTTTTGTATATGTACATACACGTAGTACCACGTGCGTTTATGTCAGTCGCAATGTAGGTGTGGTACATAGCAGTACAATGGTTGTATGTGCATTGCATGCACACATAGCCCAGACCGAAACCGATTTGGAGATCAGTCCCGACGCCGGAACCGATTGTACAATCTCTGCCGGCAGCGGCGCGTCGTCTGCCAAAGCCCCGGACGTTCGTGTTTCAGTTCTGGAGCTTCGATGGACACGAGGGGGAGTTGTGGGGGCGCCGTCAGGGGCGCAAGGTTCTGTTCTCTGAGGGTCTCCGTGTTTCGTCAGAGGGCAATTGCCGAGATGCGGTCGGCAACGAGCATTTGTCAGCTCGTTGCGAAGTATGGCATCGGGCCTTTGTCCTTCAATGATATATTGATCGGTCGCGCGGTAGAAGACCGCAACTTCTTATTTCGATGATGTTCTGGCCCCAATGAGTTCCACAGTTTGCGATTCAGTCAGCACCCGGAGCCCATTTGGGCTCAGGGCGTTCTCCACGCAAGCGAGGCCTCCAGTCGGCCCCAGGAGCCCTGCGACTTCCGTCATGGAGCCGCGGGTCAAGGTCGAGAACGCCGAGGACGCGCTCGGCCCTTGTGACGCCCAGAGCCCCTCGTCAGCGCCGAGCAGCTTCGCGCTGCAAAGGACGCCTCTGCCAAAAGCGCAGGTTGTTCAGTCGCCTCGTCCGACTTCGTTTTCGGGGCCCTTGTGCTCGGGGCCTCCTCATCATGGGCGCACCTTGCGAGCGCGCGGCCTCGCGCCTGTCAAGAAGGAGAAGCCCGAGGAAGAGCCCCAGGGCCAGGGCGACTCAGAGCAGCAGGCTGAGGGCCAGGACGCGGCTGGCGCCCAGGCTGGTTCGGCGTTGTGGAGTTGCCTCTCGTCAGCACCCATCAGGAGAGCAGCGAGCATGAAGATATCGATGACGACGGCGCCCTCTTGGTTACTTCGCTGGGCGGTGATCTCCCCCATGACCCGACCATGATCTGCGTCAAGCGCGTCAGGGCGACCATCAATGACTACATGGCGAAGCTCTCAGAGGTCGGATGGCATTCGTCTTTCAAGTAACCCACCCTCGATGCGTTCATCCGCCGCTTCCAGGCGCACGAACCCAATATCGAGGGGCAGTTCCACGTGGACGTCATCACGGGCTACAGGCAGATCAAGAAGCGGCCGATTGCAATGATCGGCCTTTGGTCAACTATTCAGAAGAGCCTGGACTCCGCGAAGAACGACTTCTTGCTTGCCACGTTGCCGCGCTTCCGTGTGATCATGAAGTGCGCCGACAAATGCAAATTGACGCTTGCAGCCGACTTGAACGTCGTCAAGCACCTCGCAGAGGTCATGTCGGGGTTTGCCGAGACGAAGTCTGACGCTGCCGCCTTGAACATGCTGGACGTTTCTGAGCGATGGCACAGGTGCCCCTGCTGCGGATGCGTGTGGTTCGGCTGCAGTTGACGTGAAGGCCGAAGGCGACACGCAGGATGATGTTGCGAACCAGACTGGCGATAACAAGAAGGCCGTGGCCATGAAGACCAAGCGCAAGTCGACAGGTCGGGCTCACGAGCAGATCCAGTCCGTGCTCGGCCTTTCGGTGTCGGTTGTTGTTACCAGATTCGTCATTGACATCATCAAGAGCTACTTGCACGACATGCCTTACGTCGTCACGGCAGGCGTCAAGGGCAGCCTTGACATCCCAGCCATCGTGAAGGAGCTGACGGACTGCGCGAACATCTGGGTCCACAAGGCTGCTGCTCCCGAATTGACTTGCGACCTCGGTGAGGTCATCACCGCTTGTGCCGCAGTGTTCGAGGCCTCCATGCGTGACGAACGTGACCGCCCTCCGACGAGCGACGCCAGGGCCGCCGGGAAGTCGATTGCACACGCAGCGAAGGACTCCTATATCAGCAGCGAGCCGGCCAAGGCAATGATGATACCCATCGCGCGCGAAGGTCATGAATAACGCCAGGGAGTTCGGGGAGCAAGGCGTGGAGGACGAGTCGGCCGATGCCGTGCACCGCGAGGGCGTCGAGCGCGTCGACGACGAAACCTGGTCTGCGCTGGAGGGCGACCTGCGTGGCTGGACGTTCCGTGGCAATGGCGGTGGTATTCAAAGCCCAGGTTCTATGGCGGCGTTGATTGACGCGGGCAGCGAGAGCATGGTCAAGTTCATCGATGCAGTGAAGAGGTGGTCGCCTGCAGGTTTGCAGAAAGCTGCCCCTGATCTCAGCAACCAGTTTGCAAACTCGTGCGAGGTGGGGCAGATTGCCAACTTCATCATGATCGCGACGTCCTTCGACAAGCTGAAGAAGGTTGTGGACCGCGTCGCCTGCTCCCCCGATGGCGTCGAGGGCGCTCTGGATGCCATAATCGCGAGTCCTCTTGGGGCCGCCTGGGGGTGGGGGGAGGGGTGCTTGGTTTGAAGCTTTGTTTCTGGACCAGGGCGGGTGGCAGCTTTGAAACCTCAGCCTGAGCTCTGGGCCAGGGGCCCATGGGGTTGCGTGGCGGCCGAATGGCGTCGGCAGTTTGCGCGGGGAGGGGGCGGCGGAGGTTCTTCAAGAAGGGGGGGGGGGGGGCTCGCGTGGGATATCATCGGTGCTAGTCGATTCCCTTTGAAACGCATCGGCCCTCCATCGGCCCCCGATCGCTACCCCTCGGCCCTCTTCGGCCGCCCTCGGGCCCCTCGACTCTCCCCCGCCAGTTCCCCTGGGCCTTCTTGGCCCCCCTGGCGCGACGCGTCGGGGGGAAGGGGTAACCCGTCAGAAAGCTAGTCGCCACCCCCTCCCCCATCCAGAGCATGTCTTCCAGAGCCAAGGAGCGCAGCCAGGCGCGCCTGCGTGCCCTGAGCTGGAGGAGGCCATGGAGGACGGCTCGCAGGTGTTCGACCCTTCTTCGGTGATGCTTGGCGGGCATGGCAGTCTTGATGGATGCGCTGATGCTGTGGCCCCCGTTCCCGAAAATCGAGTCGACGTGCCATAAAACACTCAGCAGTGCAATTCGGGTATCCAGGAGATCGTCGACGTTGTGACGACGTTCTCATATCATGTTGTGCAGTACCTGGGAACCTTGGTCTCGATCATTGAGATAGTGAGCACGCGCATCGCCCAGTCCACTGAATCCTTTGATGGCGTTGGAGACCCAACTCTCTTGAAGAAGGATGTGGCCAAGAACACCATCGTGACCAAGAGCGCCTGCAGCTACGCGTTGACTACACTCACGCTGAAGGAGAAGCCGATCGACCTGGTCAAGCACTTCAGCGAGCTCTCAGATTCGGACAGGGTGAGTCCTGTGGTAGGGACGCTTTGCAAGTTCAGCAGTTTGCACTTTCGTGGCTGCGTCAACGAACACTTCGATCTTACTTCTGTGGTCAGCGTGACGGACGTGGAGATATTGAGTGCGTTTCGGAACATGGTGAGGATCTTCTGGGCTACTGAGGGCTCCGAGATCGTCAGGAAGTGCATCGACCCGTTCTGGGCCGACATGATGAACTGCGTATTCGAGGAAATCATCATTGTGGAGATCGCGCACCCCGGTGCGATTGCTGCAACCTCTGCGGGCAATGTCACCGGCCACCTCGTCGAGAAGAGCAGTCTGGATCGTCTGCCCGAGCTGCCCTTCGCGACCGCACAGGTCAACCCAGAGGAGAACGTGACCCTGTTCAAGACCTACGCCAGCAACCGCTGCATCGACGCGATCCTGCAGTTTTCGGCCGATGCGGACGTGACAGAAGTCGACGTCAAGAGCTCGAAGGACTTTGCTCAGCCCATGGTGAGGGCGCCCGTTCGCGTCATCACCGACTGGTTGAGCGTTTTCTGCCAGGCGAGGGGCGCGGCACATTGCGCGGCGCGCTTGGAGAAGGTGCTTCTGCAGGCCAACGTTTCCGAGGTCGACTCAGACACGGCGTTCAAGACGGCTGCTGGGCTGCAGCTTTGCTTCCAGGAGCTCGTGGTGGAGTTGGAGAAGACTGCGTCTTCATCTGCGGTCAAGGGCGCTGAAGCCATGGCGTTGGCATCGCCCGTCTCAGTCGGCCTCCTGCGCGAGTGGGCTGGTCGCGTGGCTTTGTTCGGCGGAGCGCGCGCTGCGCAGTTGGCGAAGGTCTTCTCGGAGCTCTTGCGCGGCCAGGCCGACGCGCGCAGGGGCGCCGCGCCGCCTTGGGGGGCGGCCTGCTGCGACGGCGGCTTCCAGAGCTCAATTGCAGCCTCGCTGATAAAAGGGCGACGTGGTCAGCTCGACGGTCAGCACTAACAACAACCTCTTCCACTTCGCCAGCCTGATGGGCACGCGCGCTGGCCTGCCGCGCATCGCGCCTCGGTTGCAGGACCGCGATCTGACGGCGCGCGCGGTGGCAGTGGCCCGCGCGACCTTGCAGAAGTCGAACGTGGCGTCGTTGGTGGTCGATGGGGTTTGAGATCATCCTGGCGACCGTGGGCGTGGAGAGCGCCAGCGCCGCCAAGCAGTGCGTGAGCCAGCGCAGAGGGGGCCCCAAGCACGTTCTGGACCGAGCTGGAGAGCTTGGCAGAGGGCGCGAGCAAAGGGGTCGTCGGCCAGGCCCCGAAGGCCAGCGGCTCCAAGAGGGCGCAGGACGGCGAGGCGGGCGGGCCCGCCAAGAAGGCGCCCGGCGGCAGCGCCGACGCTGGCGGCGAAGAAGGAGGGCGATGGCGGCGACGCCGTGAGCGGCGAAGCTGGCGGCAAGAGGAGGCGCCTGCGCAGGTGAGGCGCAGCGGCGCCTTGGGGCAGCGCCCGCGCCGGGCGCTGGTGGGATGCCCGTTTTCGGGCACTAGCGGGGCGCGCCTGGCTGGGCGCGGAACTAGAGAGGTGAAACATGTTGAAAATTTAATCGTCATCGGTGTCATCGTTGTCGTTGCCATTCCCATGGTTCAGTCGTTTTCGAATGCTGGAATCGGCGCGGGGGTGCTCACCCCGCGTGGTTCTCGAATCATTTCCGAGGCCCTCTTTTTAGATGGGGGCGAGGCTCATTGGGGCCATCATTGAAATCAGTTCTGGGTGATGGTCTCCAGGATTTTCCGAAGGCCCCTGGTAATGCGAATTCCACTCGCATGAATCTTGAGACTGGCTGAGTGGAGGGTTGGGGGGAGGATGGGGCCAGGAAGGAGGAGGGCCGCGACGAGCAGCATGAAGATGGAGGGCTGAAGAATCAATGCCAGCAAGGGCCACGCAAGGAGCGGCGGCAATAACAATAGGATGAACGCCAGGATGGGGGCGGGGCAGCAGCGGCAGCGGAAACGAGAGAATGAGCAAGCCAGTCACGCATTCTTCGTCTCCGCGCAGTTCTCTCAGATCGGGGGTCGCCGCGCTTGTTCGATGTATTGCGATGCTTCCGTCTGTGACCTCGCGCGGTGTTCGCGCTGTCCCCCATCGGGCCCCGCCCAAACGTTTGCGTTGATCTTCGACCGCGTGTTCTCTCGTGCTCCCCCCCCTGCTAATCCCGATCGCGCTGTTGCGAACCCTGCTCCCCATCATCCTCTTGGTGATCATCCTCATTCTCAACTGTCCTCTCGTGTTTCCTCGGCCTGTCGTCGGTGCCCTCGCGCCCCCCTGGCCCCCCTCGCCTCGCCCCCCTCGCAGCGCCCCCCCCCCCCCAGCCCTTCCATCAGATCTAGCAGCCCGCCTTTCCCGTCCAGGTGCCCCGGCGATGTCCAAACTGATTGGTTGCATTCCTCTCTTTACCAGCGTTTCTCCTCCTTCTTCTTCCTGCTATGTCTCGCAGCCCCCCTTCTCCCTCCCCTTCCGCCCCTTCTACCCTTATTGATGATCGTGGCTGTTGGGATGTACCGTTCCGTTCAAGTGTGCTCTGTGACAGACTGGGTCCGGCGCGCAAGTGGTAGGGGCACGGTCTTACTACGTGGTGCAACATGTTCGCAGTTGACCGCTGGTCGTTAAATAGCGCATGTCTTACATATCCACTTTGGGCGCGTCCTGGGGCATGCGAAGTCGCCACCGCTTCCTGCGGTACTAGTTTCCAACCGCAATTCGGGAAAACAGAGATTCCTTGACGGGATTAGGTTTCGGTCGTCTGTAAATCAAACGCTTGCCAAAAAAAGTAGTCTGGCGGCCCCCCCTCTTGACGGCCCCTCTGTTGCGACCCTCTTGACGGGCCCTCCGTCGTGGATCTGGCGCCCCCTGATAGACCGGGCCCCCCAGACGCACCCAACCGACGGGGCGCCCGACGAGCTCGGGGCGACAAGTGGGGCGGGCGGATGAACGCAAACAAACCAGAACAAGCAATGCCAGCCAGGAAACAAACGGGCAGCAGGGGGGGCCGAGCCACTGACAGAGGGCCCGACGGGCTCGGGCCGACCAGCGCAACAGACGGACACGCGAAAACAAACGCGCACAAACGGCGCCAGCCAGGAAGCGGGCAGCCGAGGCGTCGAGATGCAGCGGTCGGGGTGGAGGGGGCGCGCCAGTGGGGGGCGAGGAGCTCGGCTGGCTTAGGGGGAGAGGGGGGGGGCGGTTTCGGCGCCGCGCGCGCGCCGGCAAAATTTGTCGGGGGGGGGGCGCCGGCGCCATGCGCGCGCGCCGAGATGAAGCGGTCGGGGCGGAGGGGTTGCGCTTGATGGGGGCTGAGGGGGCTGAGGGGCTTGATTCCCCCATCTCTTTCCGACGAGGCCGATCGCGCCGCGGGCCGAGGAGGGGCGCGAGGGCGGGGGCGGCAGAGCCGCCGCCCCCTGCGATAATCAATTCGTTCTTCGCCGCGTCGATCCGAGCGGAAAAATATTCCAATTGTCCGGCTGGCATCAGTGGCGGACTGGCGCGCGGAAGCAACGTGAACTCCAGCGCTCCGCAGCTGTGGGGGGAGACGGGGGGCGACGCCTCCGCCGCTGGTCGCGCCCGCCCACCGGGCCCCGCTCGCGCGCGGAAGGTCGCCCTCGTGCTCGACGTGGATCTCGAAGCCCTTGGCCTTGAAAGCCCTAATCGCACGCCTGAGCTCTGGGCCGAGCAAAGCGTGGGCGATGGCCGCGCCCGCGAGAGCGCTTCCCCCGATGGGCCTCGGGGCGGCGCCGTCGAAGGCGCCCGGGCCCGCGGGCCCCGCAGTTGCCGGAGCTTCCGCCTGGTCCTCGACGAACGTCGCCCATGGGGCCGACGAAGTAAGAGCAAACGCCTGCCGGTCGCCCTCGACCCCGAGCATTGAGACGATCTGCCTTCGAACGGCGGGCCTTTTCGCAGTCCTCGCGCCAGCGCCGCCCCTCCCGCGAAATGCGCGCATCTCGCCCTCCTCTGCGGATCCTCTTGTGAGACTCGCTCGCGGCGGGGGGCTGGAGGCGGAGGGGAAGAGCCGCTGGGGGGCCCCGGCGCGCCCGATCTTCTTTTCTGGCCAAAGAGCGGCGTGCTTTCTCGGCCCCTTCAACGTCCGGCGACGTTGCCGAGCAATTTCCGCGCGCGCGTGATAGCCCTCGTTCTCATGGAGGTCCTCCTCGTCGAGCGTGCCATGGGGGACCTCCGCGTCGACGCCTGGGAACGCAACCTCGGGCAAGTTGAAGGAGTTGTCAGCTCCCGAGTCAGTGACCCAATGGTGATCATCTGTAACTCGTCTGGCCCGTCTTCTGGTGTCGCGCCGGCTTCTCGGCCGCGCCCGGCCCCGCAGCGCTCGCCGCGCTGCCTCCGTGAAATTGCCGCTGGCCATGGGAGTGCACAAATTGATTCGGTTTCCCTTGAGACCTTGCTAGTGTTGAACCGGGCAATGCGGGGGCGAATCGTTCAGCGTGAACTATGTGCGTGGGTCGACGGATGACGAAAGTGGTCATGGACTCGCTAGGTACGATGAGAAAACCTACCAGCGCTTCATTGTGTGTTCCCGACACTTCTCTCATCATCGAGTATTCGGAGATGTTTGAGAAGAGTGTTGTCGCCGTCCACGTAGTCCAGCATGTGCCTGATGCTCTGGCACTTTGACTGGAGTTATATCGTGATCCCCCCCGGGGTCTTTGAACACTGATGCTGCGGGAGCAGAGCCGTGCGCCTCGATGGCGAGAAAAGATTGACGGTGTATATTTCTAGAGGTTCCAATCTTGGGAAGGGAGACGGCGCGTGAAAATCCTTGGGCCTGTCGAGTGTATGCGTCTTCTTTTAGGAGTCACCTCGGTTTATGTCGTCCCACGTGTCCTAACTCCAGCTGGGCCACCATGGTGACACCTCACTCCACCATCTCTCTTGTTGACTCCCCGGGTCGATGTCTGTCGCTTGCTGGTCGGGTTCCTGCTGTGTGGATTTCCGCGGGCACTCCAATGCCAGATTCTGCCTGTCGAAGTCCGTCGTCGACCACGCTCCGGCTACTATTGATGCCGATAAGGGCAAGGCTTAAACAGTCTGTGTTATCATAAGGTGTGCATCGAGTTATACTGGGGAACCGCAGGGTGACCCGAATACACAATGAGAGCTCGCCGCACGGCGGGGAACAATAAACCAAACGTTATGGTATGAGCCATCTCCAAAAGACTCACGAAGGAGTAAAGGTGGAAAAGGGTCAACCACACCTCGCACGTTTTGTGGCCCTGTAGGGAACTTCAGTTAAAGCCCACATGCTACGGTTCGCACGGCGGCCCCGCTTCGCTTCGGCACGCCCCTCACACGTTTCGGAACCCCATAAGGAACTCCAGCTAAGGGCCACATGCCAGAGATCGCATGGCGGCCTCGCCTCATGTCGGCGCATCCCTCGCACGTTTCGTGCCCCCGTAAGGACTCCCAGATAAGGCCAAGTGCCAGGGTTAGCATGGCGGCACACCCTCATTGCGGCACACCATTCACACGTTTCGTGGCCCCACAGGAAGCTCCACCTCAAGCCCACATGCTACGGTTCGCATGGCGACCCCGCTTCATGTCGGCACGCCCCTCACACGCTTCGGGGCCCCATTGGGAACCCCAACGGAGGGCCAAATGTCAGGGATCGCATGGCGGCACCGCCCCTTTTCTGGAACACCCCTCACATTCTTCGTGGCCCAATAAGGACATCCAACCAAGGCACAAATTCCAGGGTTCGCATGGCGGCCCCGCCTCATTTCGGCACAGTCTTCACACTACATGCTTCGTGGCTCTATGAAGGGGGCCTTAGCGAAAACCCACATGCTAGGGTTCGCGTAGAGACCCCGCGTCATGTCGGCACACCTCTCACACGCCTCGTGGCTCCACACGGAGTTCCGACTAAAGCTCACATGATAGCGGCCCCGCCTCATATCGGCACACCCCTCGCACACTTCGTGGCTCCATGGGGAGCCCCAACTGAAGTCCAAATCCAATGGCGGCCACGCCTCAAGCCGGCACACCCGTCACACGTTTCGTGGCCCCACACATGGTTCCAACGAGTGTCCAAATTCTAAGGTTCGCATGGCGACCCCGCCTCATGTTGGCACACCCCTCACACGCTTCGCGGCCCCATGGGGAACCCCAACTAAAGCCCACATGCTAGGGTTAGCAAGGCGGCCCCGCCTTGGCACACCCATCGCACGTTTTGCGGCCTCTATAGGGGGTTCCTCTTCCTTCGTCCCACATGCCTTTCGGTGTTCACGCCTACAGATGGCGGGATTCGCCGCCAAGATAATGTTGGCTCGGTGTTTGTAAGCGGGGTGGGCCCATTCGGGACGACAACAGGAGAGACTTCATATGGAACGCCTGTTCGGGGAAGCAAACGTGTTCCCCAAGACGTCCGGCACAGGGTTGGCCAGGAGTGCCCACGGGCCCGCTTAGGGCGATCGGCTGGAAACCCGCCAGGTAGAAAGGCCGCTTGGGGAGGCACACCCACTTCTTCAAAGAGCCTCATCGCCACCGAATGGAAGCAATCACCACGCTTGGGCCTGCCAACGCGTGCTGCCGACCGCAGTGGTCAACGCCCCGTTCGGGGCAGACTTGGTGGGAACCCTCAGGTCGAATACCCATTTGGAAGTTGATGCGCCCCTCCAGGGAACATCATGACCACCACATCCTCGCAAATACTGCGTTCGATTATTGAAATAATGCTCGACCAATGGGATGTCCATGGCCCGTTCGGAACGGAATTGCTGGGATATGTCGGGTAGAACGCCCCTCAAGAACTTCAGGATAATCACATGCTAGCAGGCTCCCGACTTGTGCTTCTCCATGGGATCGGCTGAGGCAAGTGACTTCCCTTCCCCTGCAAACGTTAGCATGGTATCTGATGTTCCTGCGGTTCTCTGCTGGTTTGGGCAGTTCTAGTGTTGGTCATACCCAGTCCAGCTTTTTGGGGTCCAGGGGGAGGGTCGAACACAAAACATGATATGCAGATATGGGGCTCCTCGCTTTGATCACTTAATTATCATGTGCAAGAGTCTGCTGACAGTGCGTTGCCGCCCCACCCTTTCCTTTCTCAACGGCCAACTGCAAGGACATGTGACGAGGCCGCTCGGACAGCGTTCACGCCCAATGACCATGGGCATGCTCCCAGCAAACTCAGTTTATCATCATACCCTGAGGGGCAGGGGGGAAACCAAACAGGAGATGGCCAAAAACGGAGACCCGATTGATCGTTTATTCTATGGTTTCTTCCCCGTGTTCCAGATCCCCACACCTCTCCCCTTTCTCCGATTGTCCTTCCCCAAGCCCCTCCTTCTTCTCATTTCCATCCCCTGAATCCTCCCGCTCATGGCCTCGCCAACTCCAACGCAACCCTCAAGAACTGGTGTTTTCGGCTGCAGGATCTGCTCCGCTTGCTCCGTTGGGTTCTGCGGCGGCAGTTGGATCACCTCCAAAATCCCGAAGTGAAAAGGGAAGCACGGCCGAGGCTTCAGGACATCGAATATTCTAGAAACAGCTCGCCCCAATGCGGTACATAATAAACCGTGAACGGAACGAACAGAAACGAACAACATCCTAACTAACGAATTCGTGAGCCAGTTGACATCGCTGCCTGTGCAGAAGCCATGGGACGGATGCCGCGTGAACAAGTACAAGACAGAGTGGAGGTGAAATGGAAATAATCCACCGAGAAACGCGAGGGGGTGGCCGGCCAGTAGGACAGTCACTTCCGCCTGCAGGACCTACGCGACCCATCCGATCCTTCGGAAGGTTTGTTCCTCTCGTTTGATTCCACCAGCATCGATGCCCCAAAGTCGGAGGCTAAAGGCTGCACGCGGGACAAGGGGTTGCTACTTAACTCAGACGAAAGACTAGGAGGTGGGCGAGCGTCTCAACGAACCTCCGGGGGTCCCCGGAGCCTTGAAATTCACCCTCCGCAGCTTTCAAAATGCGTTAAGCTGATTCTTGGTATCTTCGAGAATGGCTCCAACACGCCAGAGAAGCCTCAAGAACGCCCAAGATGGCCTCAAGACGGCCCAACAGGCCCCCAATTTTGCTCCAAGAGGACCCGCAAGAGGGCCTCAAGAGACACAAATGATTGAATTTCAAATGTGTTTGCAATACTTTCGCGATCTCGCCTTTCGGGGCTTTTGGCAGCCCAAGACGACCCGAGAGGTCGCCAGAATCAGCCCAAGACAACCCAAAAGGCCTCCAAGAGGACCAAGGGACGGCCCAAGACGGACCCAAGACGGCGCCCTCAAGAGGCCCCAAGACAGCCAAAAAGACTTTTAGGAAGGCTTTTTGAAAGTCCCATTATGTGATCCCGAGTGTGGGGTTCACAGGCCCCCCCCCCGGTGGAATGGGCCCCAGGGATCCACAAGCCCCCCCCCAAATGGGATGGGGGGGACGACGACGACGACGACGCCGCCGCCGCTGCCGCCGCCGCTGCCGCCGCCGCCGACGTCGACGCCGACGCGGACGCCGACGCCGACATTGACGGACGACGGACGACGGACGACGGACGACGGACGACGGACGACGACGACGACGACGACGACGACCTTGACAATCGTGACGACGACGATGACCACAACCACGACCACGATCACGACCATGACGACGAACCACCCGATACCCACAGGGGGAGAGGGGGGGCACCGACATCCACCACCTTGCCACGCCCACACGGCCACGACCACAGGGGGGGGGGACGGATCCCATTCGCGAGGCCTTCACGAGGCTCACGGGCGCACCAATCCAGCGGGGGGGGGGCCGATTCCACTAGCATGTGGGGGTGGGAAGGGGGTGGAGGCCTGGATCATATATGCAGAAGACGGGGAGGGGCCCTCCCCCACAAGACCCCAAGACCCCCAACTTGCCCCCAGAGGCCCCTAAAGAAGCCCCCACATGCCCCCCATCGAGGACTCAGGATCCCTCGAAAGGCTTCCCAAAGGTCGCTCCCCCAGGCATCCAGGAAGCCCCCAAAGAGCCCCGCAACAGACGCGGAGGAAGAGAACGACTCGGCAACAACGACACGCAGGCAGCACATTAAGAAGCGACAAGCAGCGCATACGACATCGGAAGCCGCACCCATCCTTTTTGTGTGGGGGGTCGGCGGAATGGCGTACGCCTCTTAAGTAGGTTTCCGCATGGTGCCCGCATCTTGTCAGTGGCTCAAGGTCAGTGTCACTCCCTGGAATGCAGCCCACTTTTCTATAGGCGTATATGGCATGCCTTCACCGCTCGCATCACATTCAACATCTCGTTTTGTGTCACATGCGCTCCGTACGCAGTCCGACCAGGATGCTGCGGGCTAGATCTACACCAGCGAGAGATGAAAGAGAACTGTACACATCCTCGATCATATCTTCAGCGCGTGGTAGCGGAATGCCCCGAGGCTCAGACAGATGTGAGTGTCAGAGGCATTGCAATATTCTCAACAACTCAAATCACACTTGCCAGAATTCCTGGGCGATCCAGGGCGCTTCGAAAGCAAGCCCGCCTAAACCGACTCCAATATTCCCCAATTGCTTCCAAGGCACCGCTCAGAACAAAAAAACGCATACACTTTCGATTTCCCCATGGGGCCTCCCTGGAGCTCTCTTGTGCCTCTTGGGCCGTCTAGGAGTCCCTGGGGGCTGGCCCAAGAGGCCTAAAGTAATGAAACATCTGGCAAGTCTGTTACATTGATCTCACATGTTCTGCTGTGTTGTTTTCAGAACGTCCAGAACTATCCGAAATGGCCCCCAAGATCCACAAGAACGCCTCCGAGGCCCAACAGAAGAACCCAGGAGGCTCCCAAGAGGGGGGACTCGAATCGCAAGTTGAAGCCCTCCATCCCAGGATGGTTCCTGAGACAACCAGCAGGCTCCTAAAGGGCTCCCAGAGGCCCCCCCGGAGGCCCCCGAGGAAGACCCCAAGAGGGCCCAACAGGCCTCTATTGTTCATGGTCAGTGCACGGCGGCGGGATGAACCCACGGTCACTTGGAATATCTTCGAGAAGCTATCGAGAACGCGGGCCGTCACAAAGTACAGGCACTGATGGAACACCTGACTGACTGGGACTCCCATTCCATGGGGATGACGCAGGACCCTGGAGGCATCGAGCAACACATCGCCTGGAGAAGCCAAGGCGTACCTCCTAATATGCGAGCACGTGCACAGACGGCAAAATTGCACAAGGCAGGATCTAGGAACCCTCCGTGTGGCACCCCGAAGAGACACCCAAAAAGAATAATGATTGGTGTCAGCCCGCTTTGGCGTGGCCTTGCCTTCAATAACTTTGCAATCGAATGGGCTTTGTAGATCGAGGTCTTCTTGACACAGGTCTCCTCAAATTGTGAATCCGGTCCAAAACAGATGCCACACCAATTGCCATGGCCCCTGATCCTCCAACTAAGAACCCGAGAATCCTGAAGTCCTGCGTGCTCCATCACAAAAGTGCAACACAAAACTCGCCTCCAACTCTACAACATTAGGGCTGCGACGCCGAACGTGCATCACACTGTGCCCTTGCTGGTGCCAAATGTGGGTGGCTGAATGCAAAGCGCACTTCAGGAAAACAGCTTACTATGCAGACGTGAACCGGAACTACAAGCTCTCTGCACGAAGCGGCATGGCTGCAGGGAGGGCAAAATTTTAGGGTGAGGTCATGCCTTTCCTGTTACTTTTTCTGCTGCTGCGGCTTCCAATCAGCGCGTGGCTGCGGATTCAATCCCGACTTGCACGGCCATGGATTCCACAGTTGCCGCCTGTCGCCATGCTGCAGTCTCTTTGGACATCTCCTCCTGTGGCGGCAACGGCCATCCCCTGCTCATGCCGATATGCTTAGTCATGACACCAGGGAAGCCGACCTTGCCACCGAATTCGTGGATCAAGGTATTTACCGCAAGCAACAATTCACTTTTCTGCGCGAGGAACTTATCTCCAGACAACGTTGCCTTGAAATAGGCGCGAAGACGGAATTTGGCACCGTAGTCGGACCAACCGTTCAACACGAACTGCGGCTCGTAGATCTTCAAGTGGCCTTTGTACTTGCTCCTGATGAGCATGATGTCACTCTTTTGTAAAACGCTAGGGCTTGACAACAGCAATTCGTGCACCGCTGTTACCATTTGTTCTAACATAGGAGCGTCGTCCATTAACACAATAATGTCCTCGACCGCTACACGGAAACATTTCCTCGTTTTGTCCACTACAACGCCGTCCACGATTCGGCGGTTCGGGACCACGACCCGGAACCCATCATACTGATTGACAACCGTGTTAAACCATCCGACGGACGCTACAACTCCTGATACCTTTTCGCTTTGAAGAATCACTTCCAGGCCCTCGCATACCGAGCTGTTGATATATATAAGAATGCCTGAAATCAGATTCTGGACTAAATTCTGCAAGGCCAGCCCTGTGGCCAATCCTCCGACCCCCCCCACCGCAAGCACCGTACGTATCTTGAGGCCGAGCAAGTGCAACACAGGGACTGCCATGCCACAATATATTGTGCATGCGAGTACCTTGTCCACCAGCATCAATCTCATAACGGATGTGCGGATTTTGGAAGACTTCCGCGCAGCTATGAACCACACAATGGGTTTCCATGGGAACGCAGCGTCTCGAGTCGCCTCGTCCTTTCCTGGAACCGAGACGTTCTCCAAGTTGTGCCAGAGGCCCAATAACATATTACCGAACAGGATCGCAGCTACCACCACAACCAGTTGATTGGTGAATCCCAAGACGCCATGGTAAATGCCGATCCTACCCTTTTGGCTTAACCACAGCACCCCGTCGATACTTGGTATGAAAAACCTGCCGGATCGCAGAAGCGACGGCACAGCGACGAGAATCAGTTTGACGGCCAGCGAGTTCTGCAGGACACTCAGGCTGTGGTCGATCCACTGGGCAAGTGTTTGCGAGACGTGCTCCTTGTACCACGGCGGGCAGCCTCTCGCGATAGACGCGACCACAAATGCTCTCCATGCTTCCTGCCGCGGCCTCACGAGGCTTGCGGGCCAATGCCTGAACAGGTGGCTGAGCCCCTCCCCCGAGACCCCAACACAGATGTCACACCCACCGAATGCCATTTAACTGGAGGCCCCTCCCCATGCCACTACCATGAGACAAGCGTATGCTCTGTGGGGTCAGGGAAGGTTCTCTTCCACCACAAGCCTCAGCACAAGCAACAGCACACCTGTGCCAGCGAACAGCATTGACGAAGCCGGCGTGCACTCGCCCGTAATGTCGCACTTCAGCCTGTACAAATTGACTCCGATCACTTGCCAAGCGACAACGAGTCCGACACCCAGAGCCCTGCGGCGCCTGCGGCCTCGAAGGAGTGAGATATCGACGCGTTGAGGAGGGAGGCCACGGCAATCCATCGATCTCTCGGTCGATCGATAGCGGTGGACAAACTTTTTCTTGATGTCGTTATCGGCACCAAATTCCCCAGGCCATCCGCCAACGATCCCGTTCCAGATGCCCTCGTCCCCACAATGTTTGCATGCCTTGAAGAACCTTGCTAACGCTCTGGGTCACAAAAAAACTCCGAATGCCACCAACAGATTCGGCCAGCAAGGGGAGACTGCCAGGTTTTTCCGTACTGGAGAGCGGGGCGGGTTGGGGGGGACGAGAGGCATACGGTAGCGCTCGAAGTGGGGAAAGGGACACGCCTTGCTGTCTTGATTTCGAGATCCCTGGGCCTGAGCCGGCTGGGGCCTCCGCCATCTCGCCTGCCTGCTCCGCGTCGCACCTCGCGACCACGGCTCTAGGCGGCCTGCCAGCGGGATCCAGGGGGAACCAGGTCGGGCCCAAGACCAGGGAGGCAAGCAATGCGAGCAGCTCTTCTTCAGGTTCCGTACTGCCTGAAAGCACAGCCCAATTTTATTGTTCTAATTATGCTCCAGCTGTGTTTCCGAAACGTCTCGGATAATTCGAGATAGCTCCGTCCACCAAAGGGCGCGGCGTGACAAACACGCAAGCCGCATCGCGCTTACTTTGTGGTTTCATTTCGGCAACGATCGGCGAATCCTCATATGTCGCCGCGCCGTTTGTTCTCGACGCGCCCAAATGGACGACGCCGACACCACGACAAACCCATGGCAAACCTTGCGTCCCGCGCCCAATTAGACGAAGCCGGCACCGCGGCAAACCCCACGGCGAGCCCTGCGCCCGAAACGGGGTTTGCCCTGGTAACCGCGGCGCCCTCCCAAGACGTGCACGTCGGAACAAACGGCGCGACGACACATACCTAATCTAAATACTCAGGTCTGGAAATCCTCTCGAGGGCCCTGGACCCAAGTTCCTTGGCGATTCCTGCCGCTTCGAATTTGGCCGCACGGCCCATTTCGATCCAGCTCTCAAGCTGCAACTCAGGTCGATCGCCAAAGCCAAGGACAACGAACGAGCATCGGGAGGTCGTTCCGTGCGCGTCCGCTGACGCCAGCTCTCCCCCTTGTTCGAAACCTTCAGACGTCGAACCTCCCCAGTTGTCGGGCCCCCCTAGCTTTCCCGTCCACACATGGTTCTCACTGCCGCTGCTACGCGCGCCGACAGTTGGGGACCAGCCCGAAAGTGGGCCCCCATCGCAATTCCAGCCCGCATTTTCCATGTAATCGCCTTGGTCGCCTGACCAACGTTTTGTCTGGGCGACCACCACTAAAACATGTAGGTTGATCGATCCGTCTCGACATCGGTCGCCGAGACAATGCGTCGATCGACCGACCACACGAGTAGAACTTCAGCCCGCCGAGACCTCGCCCTGCAGGCGCGGCGCCGGGCGCCAGGCGCCGCGCCACACAGCGCAGCGGGCGCGAAGCGCGCCACGCGCGCGCCCACGCGGAAAGCGCGGGCGCCCTGCCCTGGGCCTGGAAGGGGGCTCGCCCGGCGGAGCGCGGCACACCGCGCTCGGGAACGCCACCTCCACGCGCCGCGACCCAGCGGGCGCGCGCGGGTGCGGGGAGGCCCAGGCACGTGCGAAGGTCCATCGAGGACGGCAGGGGCGGGGGTGGCCACTCCCATCTGAACCAAACCCGCTCTAAGGAAGGCGGTCGCAGCTGTGCAAGAAAAGAATATACCCGGCGGGATCCCAATTGGAAAGCTTCCTATTGCATTGGTGCATCGCATGGCGTTGCTTGGCATACTGCCTGGCATCATGCTTCGCATTGCGTGACATTGTTTGGTATTGTGTGGCATTGCTTGGCATTGCGTGGCATTGCTTGGCATTGCCTGGCATTGCTTGGCGTTCACTGGCATTGCTTGGCATTGTGTGGCATCGCTTGGACTTGCGTGGCGAGGCAGCAAGGAACCACGACCAAGGAACCGACCAACGAAACAATGATCCAAGACCCAGGAGCTAAGACCAAGGCACCACGAAACCAAGACCAACGAACCAAGGAACCAAGATTAAGGAATCAAGGAACCAAGACCTAGGAACCCGAGGAAAGCAGCAGGAAACTGAGGAACCATGACCAACGAACCAAGGAACGCCTTCTAAGGAAACAAAATCAAGGTCCCAAAGAACCAAGACCAAGGAACTACGGAACCGAGATCAAGGAATCAAGGAACCAAGAGCAGGAAGCTGGGGAACGCCACTGTAAGGCTTCAAGACCGAAGAACTCTGGGGAACCCCATTGCAAAGAGACAAAACCAACAACAGCCTGGGAATCCGGGGAACCCGGCGACGACCGCACCTCGCATCGACCAGTTCTTCAAACATGGATGAATCGGAACCCTAATGCTTTCTATTGCGTGGGCGCATTGCGTGGCATTGCTTGGGATATTGTTTGTCATCCTGCTTGGCATTGTTGGCATTGCGTATCCACTGGGTCCCCGAGGCAAAGCCTTTAGGAACAAGAAAGGAGCCCCAGGCAAAGCCTAATAGGGGAATGAAGACTCAATCGGAACAAAGTGTCCGTCCTGAACAGTAGAGCATGGTACACACATTCGACGAGGAAGGCGCATCAACCATCGTTCTTTCTTTCCTGCAGAACTGGCAAGTGGACCCCTAGACGACGACGGAACAGAGAAAACAAGCGACGAAGAGAAGCTGAGGGGGAGCAACGCAGGCAACACAACACATGGACTACTCATCCTTGGCCTCCTGCTTGCAATGGTCCCAAGCCAACCTGTTTCTGCCGTGCTTCTTTAAGACAGTCCAACGCATCACTTCAATTGACTGCACACATGTGCCTTCCATCGGATCAGCGACTGGAATGCACTTCAAACTAGCAGGTGACGTCACTATCGTCATGGCTTGCCCGTCATGGCTTGCTCGTCTTTGCGCGAAGAGATACACAGTGCTCGAAGTATGCCGGATGAGGCTGAGAATGAGGGGGTAAGGGGACATGAGATAGCTGTGCTGCTGATGCGTCGAAGGTGTACCACCGCCGGCCGCTGCGAGCAGACGATGATTGGCAATCAGCAGCGGTCAATGTGACGGCGTAGTGGTGCACACGAACCCCCTACATACGCAGAAGGAGCGCTAGAGTACGGGCGCGCTGAGAAACAGGATAACCAACTAGCAGAGCGCAAAGCCGGATTTCGAACAGCGGTTGCATCCGAGGAATTTTGACGCCATGTGCATTGCCCGCATGCTGCGCCCTCGGCAGGGATGGACGCGCAATACATGCGTAGTCTCCCTTACTCGCGGATCAAGGTCCTTGCACCTGAATGCAACATCATCGCCCATCATATCTCTCGATCGAGCGGACCACAATTCCACCAGTATCCTGATCGTTAGAGGCACCACATGTGAACACACACACACAGACATTCGACTAGACCGAGCACTGGACAACTCCTAGCCAACCACATCATCGACAATCGCTGTGATGGCGATCAAAGGGCCACACGATCTCCTAGAAGCCGAGGCCACGTCCTCGACGCGAGCGTACCGCTCCACAACTCCCAATGATCTACGTACTCCCGACGACACATGTAAAGCTGGACGCTGCGCAGGAGACTGCGAGATCTCGAAGATTGACACATGACACCGCGTACAATGGCGAATGCGTACAAGAACCGCAAGCCCTCCCCCAGACGACTCTCAGGCTGTATTGCATACGAGGGGCCTCCTGTCCATTGACAGCTGCCAAACGCATGAGGCACTCCGCTGCGATCGCTTCGGATCGCGATTTCAAACGGCATCTTGAAATGGGATCTGGCGAGAGCCTCCCCTGAGAGCCTCAGCGCTGAACGCCTGCATTGCGAAGGCGTAGGCGACGAGCCGGGCCAACTGGCGTTGATGGCGGCAAACATGGCTGCAAGCTGGCATGCCCCCTGGGCCGCGCCCCGTCCGCCCGCCCCCCGCTGGCGGCTGCCGTTTCGAGAAAATGCGATCCATGGAAGCGATGCAAAACAAGCCGTGGGGAACAGACTGCCAACATTTCAGGCCCAGGGGACGCATCGCAGGAAGATTCAGCAGAAGGACTGTGGGAAATCATGAGAAGACAAGCGAAGCCATGAGGCAACATACAACACAATTCGGACGAACGATTTCTGCGCGAGGTAATACTATTCTATTATACGCTGCGGCGAGTCGTGGGTGTCAGAATGCCAAATGGTGCCGTGGAGGATCATGAGGGACCACCTCGACAATTTTGGGGTGCACTACACATACCAATGAAAGTCTTCCATTCAAGCGAGATGTGGTCTTGACCGCAATCGGGCTCGACCCGCTGGGTATCGGGCTCCCGCTCTGTCTGGATGTCGATGGCGATCGGCGTCGCCTTTTTGGTGCGAAAAATGACGCCGCCTACAGAATTCATGACGAGTTGCATTGGTTGCACACAACTAACACCCAAACGACCACCGGACACACATAGCACAAAGGTGTACAACAGTCCAACTTCACCGAATCACGTATAACATACACTTTCTACAATCGGAATCGGAATAACCACTGCGTCATGCGTCGCGCATAACTAGTGACATCACGCGCGCTCGAGCGTAGCGACGATAATGCACAGCCTCTGCGAAGAGTGGGGGGCGATGCAGCGGCGCGGCCCGCAGCGCTCGCGAGTTGACGGCCGCAAACACACCAAAATTGTGTGTTTCCTAAACCAATGCGAATGTGTTAGTTATCTTATTCATTCGCTCGCACGGCGCCGCCAATTCATAACTCCAGACACCCCGCTTCCGCACACACACACACAGACACAACACCGCACACTCAACAACCCCCGTCCCCGCGCTCCCAGCATTTCCGATCTCTATAACTCCCGCCCCCCCGCTTCCAACAGCTCCTCGCGCATGCCGCCCCGACCCATTCATGTCTCACGCGCGGCACCGCCACTCGCCACGCCCTTGCTTCCTCCGCCATACGTGTCAAACTCTTTCAGAAGAGAGCGGCCCGAGTGGCCAACCTCAAGTCTGTGTTAGGTCACCGCCGCACCCTGAGAGTATTCACTGCAGGACCTCTCCCAGGAGTTCTTTACGGCAACGAAGTTCGAGGAGTCACGGACTACGAACTTCTTCACTTACGGCGTGCTGCGGCACGAACCATCAAACCTTCTGCCGGCGGGCGCTCCCTCACGGTCCTGTCCCATCTTATCGGGGATCCCGCGTGGATCGGGGCCATCGCGCCCATTCTCCGTTGGCACAAAAAAACGTTTTTCTCACCCAGGTTAGGGCCTTTGAAGGCTCGCTGAATTTCAGGGAGCTCCATCTAGCTTGGGAGCGTACCTTTTCTAAGGACTCTTGCGCATGGAGGGCAGTCTCAAGCCCAGTTTCAGCCATGCGGAAGTCGCTGGA